AAACGGTCCGAGCCGGAATGGGTTTTCCAAATTTTAAAATTGAAAACGGACCTAACCCAGCTTGTTTGAAACGGGCCGATTCCACGGGTCAACGGGTCTAAACCTATCATGATACTAATATTAAAAAAGATTAAGTGATAATAAATTAATAATACATACATGGTCATTCACCATTAGTTCACAACAATGTACTATCCCCATTGTCAATTTTAAGTCGATTTCAAAAAAGAGGCCTAAATGAAAATAAAACAATGACAAAGAGGGCATGAGAGTAAAGTGTACACCCCATGATCATCCAACAACAACAAAAAAAGGAAGACGGGTGATGGGTGTATTTCACCCATGACCGGTCAAGGGTCCGAATCCGAAAGTTGACCGGTCAAAGAAGTCAAACTTGAAAGGAAGATCTGAGTCGTCAGCAAAGGGAGAGCTGGTTGACCAGAAAGTTGACCGGTACACTTCGGGTTAGTATACCGGTCAAACTATTCCATCGCCTAAATTCATCCTCCGAAGTTAGCCAAACCAGCCCTCAAAGATCACCCGGTCTAGTTTTCGAGGATCGGAGAGTGTCGGCAGGAGGAATCCAAAAGGATTTGGACTATAGTGGTTGGAATTGCAGAGATGCTGAAGGCATCTTTCCAAACCAGAACACGACGAAGGCGCAGCCCCCTACGCAAGAGGACAAGGCAGCTCAGAAGCAGTCACCTCCCACCTACGGCAGCGTGATCCCACGTGGGTGCACATGGTCTTTCCCCCCCTTCAGCCTAGTATCAATACGCATGTAAACCTCAGAAGGAGGGATCCGAATTCACTCTCTCTAAACTCCCTTTTAAAAGTGACCGTGCATTCCTTGTTTTAATACAATTCGGGCTACAGGTGTTCCACCTAAAGTCCTACCGGTCATTCTGAGTGTTTTTACTTTCTTTACTTTACTAAATCAAGCCGACTGTTCTAGACCCGGTCTAGTATAGTTTGACCGGTCAAGTAATTTACAGCATCATTTTTTACGCCGACCGTGGGACCGTTAAAGTTTCTTCTCTTCTAAACACAAACCTACTCACAAAAACACCACTCAAAATGTCTTCCAGCCAGCAAATCAACGCTACCTCTGCTCAGGTGCAAGCCACCACTGAGGGTACCAGCATCCCCATGGTTGCTACCCTACCAGCCGTTTCAACTCCGGTTTTGCCGTTGGGACTAAGCTCGGTCCCAACACCCAGCATGGTAAGCCCATTCACGGCCCCCGTCCCTTCCGCTGGACCGAGGGTCAGTTTCCCACCAAGCATGACTCAGTTCATGAATGACCCAGCTAACCTGCAGGCCATCCAAGGCTTTGGCCAGGTCATGGCTATGTGCCAACAAAATGGGGGGATGCCTTTCATCCCTGGTATGTTCCCGTTCGCTCTTCCAGGCACGGGAACCATGCCCCTACAAGCTCCGATGGCAGTGACGCCGTTTCAGACGCCGATTCCACAGCCATCACCTTTCCAGCCGCAGCTAGTCAGCGCTGTGGCCCCCATCAACTTGGCAGGTGCGCTTAACGCCGCGGGGCCGTCGCGTCCCCCGCAAGGTATGAACCCGCTAGTCACTCCGGATGGTCACTGCGTCTCAGTCGAAAGCGGAGACGACGAGTGGGATATTCCAAGGACCCACAAGAAAAAGAAGGGAAAAACCATCCGACCTGCCACCTCCCGAAACTCCGCCTTCGAAAGGCTGGGGGATAAGGAGGAGGGCCAGAGAAAATCAGCCAAGCTGAGGCTGGGGCAGAGCGCGGCCCATGTCAGCGCGTTCGCCCGGTTAAGTGAGATGAGGGAGGCCGAGCCTGCCCGCACCCAACGCTCCCGGTCAAACCGGCAGGAGCCAGCCAGGACGAGGGCCTCTCGCCAGGAAGGAGAAGAAGAAAGCCAGCCTAGGGTGCCGGTGGCTAATCGGTTAACCACCCCCAATGATCGCGTCCAACAGATGGAGGCAAAGTTGGAGAGGCTGGAGAAGAAGGTTGGGGAGAAGAATGACCGGGACAAACCCCTCGCGAGGTCCCCATTCACTACAAGGGTCCATCTGACACCTTTCCCGCGAAAGGTTAAGATAGACGCCCCAAGGTTCACCGGTAAGGAGGACCCAGAAATCCACCTGGACTCCTTCAATCAGAGTGCAACCATGAACGGTTGCGCAGATGAAGAAAAATGCCTCCTCTTCTTCCAGACCTTGCGGAATCGAGCCACCGAGTGGTTCAACAAGCTTCGCCCGGGAAGCATTGACTCATTCAGCGACTTGGCCTCGAAATTCAAGGCCAAGTTCCAGGAGAACTGTACCAAGAGGAAGAAATTCACCTATCTTAGTACGGCCGGGCAGAGGGAATCTGAGAACCTCACCCAATTCCTTACCCGGTGGAAGGAGGAGGTAGACAAGGTTGAGGAGATGGATGACAAGACAGTGTTGTCCCTTGAGTGGTTTGCGAGCTGGGGAACTTTACAAGGAGTTCTGCCGGAAACCCCCGGCCACGTATCAGGAAGCATACCATACTGCATGGGAGTTCGCCGAGGCTGAGACTCAACTCCGGGCGAAGAAAGAAGCCGAACATGGTTACAAGCCCATGCCGGTGCAAGTCAAGAAGGAAGAAGTGCCGGTACCCAGCCGGCCAAGGCACCACTATGACCCGGTAGTCCGAGTGGTCAATTTAGAAGAATGCCAGGAGATCAGGAAAGCACCGGTCAATCCTCCGGACAATCCTGCCGGTCAATCTGGGCGTCAGTGGTCGGGCACCTATTGTTCATACCACAGGTCAGATTCCCATAGCACTTCCGAATGCAAGAGTGTTAAGGGGGTAATCCGGCAGATGATAGACAGCGGAGAACTGGGCAAGGATTATCTGCAGAAAGCCCAGGAGAAGAACCATCAATGGGTGAGGCCAGCGACCCAAGGAAATAACCGGGACAATGACCGGCGGAGGAATAACCGGCAGAGGGAGCAACAGCCTGCCCCTGACAAAGAGCATATTGGGATGATCTTTGGCGGACCTGAGGGCGGAGATTTAGCCGCGCAGCGAAAAAATTGGGTTCGCAGCATCTACGTGGGAGAGGTAAGTGCCGAACCGGCCAGGCGTAAGTACCCTAAGAGGGAGCCAATAGTCTTCACTGACCGGGACCTCCCTCCTACCAGTGAAGATCACAATGATCCATTGGTCATCACCATGGACATTAATGGGGTGGATGTCGCCCGGGTACTTGTTGACACCGGTAGCAGTGTCAACATCCTATACCTGGAGACTTTCCAAAAACTCAGGTTGTGTCGGACACAACTTAAACCCCTCAAAACTCCTCTCTCAGGTTTCACAGGAGACACAGTGGAAGCTGAGGGGTCCATAGTTCTACCGGTCGAACTAGGATCGGGCGAAAAGACCGTGTGGAAGAAAATGTGGTTCATCATTGTGGACATCAAATGCGTCCACAACGCCATCCTTGGAAGGCCTGGCATCAACAAGGTTGGGGCGGTGATTTCCATGCCTCACCTATGCATGAGGTTCCACACTCCGGGCGGTGTGGGAGAAGTGAGGGGCGACCAGAGGAATGCCCGGGAGTGCTATGCCCGGGCGGTTAAAAAGATGACTAAGGGGGTCAACGTCACCTCCCAAGAAATCACCAAGGGAGAGACCTGGGAGAAATTGGAGCCCGAGGCCGAGACGGTGGAAATCGAACTTCACCCGGGTGATTCTTCAAGGATGGTCAGAATCGGAGCCAACCTCCCAGAAGATCTCAAGGCTGAGATTACACGGGTGCTCCAAGAGTATGCGGGCATATTTGCATGGAGCGTGGCAGATATGCCCGGAATTGACCGCTCAATCATCTGTCACCGTTGGTAGTAAGGGAGGGAAGTCGACCGGTACGCTAGAAGAAAAGGTACCTGGCCAGCGACCGGCGAGACTTCGTCAAGAAGGAGGTGAAGGACCTCCTTAGTGTTGGTCACATTCGGGAAGTTAAATACCCGGATTGGCTGGCCAACGTTGTCCTTGCTCCCAAAGGCGACACATGGAGAATGTGTGTGGATTATACGGACTTGAACAAGGCTTATCCGATGGATTCATACCCCCTCCCCAGTCCTGATCAAATGGTGGACGAAACTGCGGGGTGCGAACTCCTGAGTTTCATGGATGCCTTCAAGGGCTACCACCAAATCTACATGGCCAAGGAGGATGAAGAGAAGACGTCATTCCTCACACCCGAAGGAACCTACTGTTACCGGGTAATGGCGTTTGGCTTGAAGAATTCGGGGGCAACCTACCAGCGCATGGTGAACAAGCTCTTCAAGCCACTGCTGGGAAAGACCATGGAGGC